TCCTCCGGAAGTCCACTATCATCTCCTTTGTCTTTGTGACGTTGAGGGTGAGACTGTTGTCCTGATACCAGTGGGTCAGGGCGCGGATCTCCTCCCTGTAGGCCGTCTCATCGTCGTTGGTGATGAGACCCACCACTGTGGTGTCGTCCGCATAATTCACAATGATGTTGGAGTTTCTCGTGGCCGTGCAGTCGTAGGTGTAGAGTGAGTACAGGAGAGGGCTCAGCACACACCCCTGAGCACCAGTGTTCAGTGTAACAGGGCATGAGGTGGTGCCGCCCAGTCTGACCACCTGGCGTCTGTCAGACAGAAAGTTAAGGATCCAGCTGCAGAGGGAGCTGCTCAGTCCTAGATCCTGCAGTTTCCTGTCCAGCTTTGAGGGAACAATGGTGTTGAATGCTGAGCTGTAATCTACAAACAGCATTCTCACATATGTGTCCCTCTTCTCCAGGTGTGACAGGGCAGCATGAAGTGTCAGGGCTATGCCATCATCAGTGGACCTGTTGTGGCGGTATGCAAACTGTAGAGGGTCCAGTGAATCAGGCAGTGCAGAGCAGAGGAAGTCCCTGACCAACTTCTCGAAGCATTTGCTCACGATGGGGGTCAGGGCTACAGGTCGCCAGTCATTCAATGTAGAGATGGTGGAGGATTTGGGTACAGGGACAATGGTGGCCATTTTGAAGCAGGCTGGGACTACAGACAGAGAGAGGGAAAGGTTGAAGATGTGTGTAAACACTCCAGCCAGCTGACCCGCGCATGACCTTAGGACGCGGCCGGGAATCCCGTCCGGACCAGTAGCTTTGCGTGCGTTCATCCTCCTGAAGCACCTCTGCACATCCTCTTCAGACACAGTGTGCGCACTGACGTCATCCGCAGTGCGCTCACTGTTCGGTCTCATGGTGTTCGCTGTGTCGAATCTGGCATAGAATGCGTTTAGATCCTCACACAGAGAGGCCGTGGTCTGCGGTGTGCTGGTTCTCCCTCTCAAGTCTGTGATTGTGCTTAGTCCCTGCCACATACTCCGGGGGTTGTCAAACTGTTGCTCCACCCTGTCTCTGTACTCACGTTTGGCTGCTTTGATCGTCTTCCGGAGTTGGTAATGTGCGTGTTTGTAGTCTGATGTGTTCGCGGAGGCAAAGGCGGTGCTCCGCGCCGCCAGCGCCGTTCGCACACCTCCATTAATCCAGGGTTTTTGATTCGGGAAGGATTTAACTGTTCTGGATGGGACAACATCTTCCACGCATTTCCTGATAAATCCGCAGACTGAGTATGTGTACTCATCACTGTCTCTAGCAGCCGCGTGAAACATTTCCCAGTCCGCCCGATCAAAACAATCCTGCAGCGCAGACTCCGATTGGTCTGACCAACGATGCACCGCCCTCAGGGTTGGAGCTTCCCGTTTTAGCTTCTGTCTGTAGGCAGGTATAAGCAGGATGGAGCGGTGATCTGATTGGCCGAATGGGGCGCGGGGGAGGGCTTTGTACGCATCTCGGAAAGAGGTGTAGCAGTGGTCGAGTAGCCGATCTCCACGTGTATTGAAATGGATGTGTTGGTGTAGTTTTGGTGAGACTTTCTTCAGGTTACCCTTATTAAAGTCCCCGATCGTAATAAACGCCGCCTCTGGGTGTACGGTTTCCTCATTGCTGATAGCGCTGTACAGTTCTCTGAGTGCTCGTTCAGTGTCGGCTTGTGGGGGAATGTAAACAGCCGTAATAATCACCGCTGTGAATTCTCACGGTAGCCAAAATGGCCGGCACTTAATCATCAGGTACTCCAGGTCCGGAGAGCAGAAGGATTTGACCGGGTGCACGTTCGCATAATCACACCAGCTGTTGTTGATCATGAAACACACACCACCACCTCTGCTTTTCCCAGTAAGCTCCTGTGACCTGTCCGCGCGGTGCATGGAGAACCCCGGTAGTTGTACTGCGGTGTCTGGTACTTTGTCCGATAGCCAGGTTTCTATGAGGCAGATCGCGCTGCAGTCCCGCATCTCTCGCTGGAATGAGATCCGAGCCCGAAGCTCGCACAGCTTGTTCTCCAGGGACTGCACATTAGCCAGTAGTAAACTGGGTAATGGTGGTCTGTTAGTGCGCCGTCTCAGTCGAACCAGAACGCCAGATCTTCTCCCTCTGCGTCGGTGCTTGCGGCCTCCACGGGCCCAGAACAAAGGCGTCTCAGGTGAGATGAATGGGGGATCTGCAAACGGCGGGTCCGTGATGAAAGACCTGAACTCCGGGAAGCAATGAGAAAATCTGTCTTTTATGTCCAGTAAGGTTTGTCGGTCGTACACAAGGATACAAGTGCTACTCGTGAAAAAATAAAGAAACAGAAGTAAACACAAAAAACAGCTGTTGCTTGGTGGAGCTCGCGACGAGGCAGCCATACTCGGCACCATCTTGATGTTCTCCTGCTCAATGTCTCTAGCAGCCGCGTGAAACATTTCCCAGTCTGCCCTGGGGCCCCTCCTCTTCGCCCAAAGAATGAGCGACAGGATGATCCAGGCCAGTGAGAGGCACAGAGAAATCCTGCTGGACCACATTATGGAGTGGAGCAGGGAGGTGGCGACGTGGAACCAGAACGCAAGCTGAGCAGGTAGGTGAAAATGAGTTTTCACCGACGTCAGCCCTATTCTAAAAAAACCTGGTTCAGATCCCAATGATTTCAATAACCTCCGTCCCATTTCCCATCTTCCCTTCATTTCCAAAGTCCTAGAGAAAACTGTTGCATCTCAGCTCCATTCCCATCTCACCCGCAATAACCTTTATGAACAGTTTCAGTCTGGCTTCCATCCCCACCACAGCACAGAAACAGCTCTCATCAAGATCACTAATGACCTACTCATTGCTGCTGATTCTGGTTTAATCTCTATTTTCATTCTCCTCGATCTGAGTGCGGCCTTTGACACCATTTCTCATCCCATCCTCCTCAATAGACTCTCTTCCTTAGGCATCACTCACACCCCCTCCACTGGTTTCAATCTTACCTTACTGGCCGCACTCAGTTCATCCAGATAAAATCCTTTTCCTCAGAACCCTCCCCTGTCAAGTCAGGTGTGCCCCAGGGCTCTGTCCTGGGGCCCCTCCTCTTCATAGTATATCTCCTCCCTATCAGCAAAATCTTCCACAAATTCAATATCCAGTTTCACTGCTTTGCGGATGACACCCAGCTCTACATTTCCAGTAAGCCCAACTCAACTCTTCCACCATCCTCCCTTACACTCTGCCTCTCTGAAATCAAATCATGGTTCACCTCTAACTTCCTCAAACTCAACGGCAAAAAAAACCTGAACTTCTTCTAGTTCGCACTAAATCCACCATCTCAAAATCTGACAGCTTTTCTTTAACTATTGACAGTGCCATAGTCTCCCCCTCCCCTCAGGTCAAGAGTCTGGGTGTCATCCTCAACAGCTCACTTTCTTTTCAAACTCACATTAATAACATAATTCGGTCAGCATACTTCCATCTACGTTCCATAAACCGTCTCCGCCCCTCACAGACCCCTCACACTGCCGCCATTCTCGTCCACAGCCTCGTCACCTCCCGTATCGACTATTGCAATTCACTTCTTTATAGTCTCCCCAACAAACTCCTTCATAAACTTCAACTGGTCCAGAATTCAGCAGCCCGTATTATCACCAGAACCCCGTCCTTTCACCACGTCACCCCGGTTTTCGAACAGCTTCACTGGCTCCCAGTTAAATTCAGGTCCATCTTCAAAATTCTCCTCCATACCTTCAAAGCAATCCACAACCTGTCTCCTCCATATATCTCTGACCTTATAAGTATTCACACCCCTTCCCGTTCTCTCAGATCTTCTTCTTCCATCCATCTTGCGGTTCCTTCTGCCCGTCTCGCTACCATGGGGAGCAGAGCTTTCAGCCGCTCTGCTCCTCGTCTCTGGAACTCACTTCCCCCAGACATCAGGAACATCGACAGTTTTACCCTTTTCAAAACAAAACTCAAAACACACGTTTAAATCTGCCTATGACCTCTGATTTTATTGAACTGTTTCTCTCCTTGTTTTTTTTTTCTTGTTTGGGTTTTATTAATGTTTTATTGTATTTTATTAAGTGTTTTCTGACAAGTGACCTTGGGTGTTCTGAAAGGCGCTTTTAAATAAAATGTATTATTATTTTATTATTCGGCTTCATCGCTTCTTAAAACGTACCTATTCAAACGTGCACACCCCACTTGATCTTTTCCATTTTTATTTCATGCATTATTTTACTTGCCCTTCTTCTTAACCCGGTTCTCAACTATGTTTTTATGGCCTGCTCTGTTGTCGATGTATAGTGATCTTATCTCTACTTAATTTGCTTGTATTGTTTTTAAGTTGTGTTACTTGTATTTCTTTATGTTCAGCGACCTTGAGTCTTGAAAGAAGCTTACAAATAAAACGTATTATTAAGATTATTATTTCCTGATATGTGGACATCTCGCCCCGGATTGGATAACAGCAATGCAACTCTACCACTGACTTGCAACATGGATATTTTATCTCTCAAAATACACGAGCCTGGAGTACCTTCTGCTGTGAGGTGTAGTTGTTAATGCTGACAGTTAGCTTAAACTAGCCGAGACGTCCACTGCTGATTACTGGATGTTAAAACAATAAGTCTTCCCTGTCGTGAATCAAGATCGTCGAGTCCATGAATGATAATTCACAGGTTGACATAGATCTGTGAGGCTTTTCAAATACATGAGTTTCATCTATTTTCTATCAGAAGCTAATGCAGGAGAAAGGTGTAGGAGACTATTTTCATGTTCAGCCTACATGAAAAACTCAGTGATCAATTTTAATTACAATTTTTTTTTAGTCAGTCAACCACACCTTAAACTTAGGGCTTAAATATAAACAGAGTCCACAATTAGACATAAAAAGCAATTTTGCCTTTTTTTACTTAAACCATCAACGCTCATCCTAAAAATATTTCTGTACATGTGTCACACTAGGCTAGTTTATGCCTAAGGCATATGTGATTAAATGTAGTCAAAATCTCATTTCTTCTCAACTTTATGAAAAAAAAAAAACACACACACACTTTAATGTATACAAACTCAAGTGTGAATTTTCACATGAAAAGTTAAAGAAAATATCTAGTTGAATCTCATACAGACCAAACTTGGAAAATACTTTTCACTTGTGTTGAGTTCTCATGTGATAAAACAAGTTACTACTGAAAGTAAAACATTTACCACAAGTTTTACATGGATATGACTTCTCACCTGTGTGAGTTCTCATGTGTGTAGTCAAGTTACTACTGTCAGTAAAACATTTACCACAAGTTTTACATGGATATGGTTTCTCACCTGTGTGAGTTCTCATGTGATAAATCAAGCCACTACTGGCAGTAAAACATTTACCACAAGTGTTACATGGATATGGCTTCTCACCTGTGTGAGTTCTCATGTGTGTAGTCAAGTTACCACTGTCAGTAAAACATTTACCACAAGTGTTACATGGATATGGCTTCTCACCTGTGTGAGTTCTCATGTGACGAAATAAAAAACACTTGTGACTGAAAGATTTTCCACAGAGCTTACAATAAAATGGCCTTTCACCTATGTGAGCCCTCTTTTTTAGTGTCTGAACATCTACATTGTCTCTCTGATCTTCGCTTCGCAGACGTCTTTTATTACGTGTCAGTTCTTCATTGCTGTATGATTCTGAGTTTTCTTTCCTGCATCCACCCTGATCTTGGTTCTCTGCTTCTGTAGAATTCTGACTCAAGGGTTGGTTCCTGTTGGGTTCTGGATCATGGCAGTCTGTTTCGTTAGAAGAAGAAGTCTCTACGAAGGTTACATGTTTTTGCTTCAAAAGGAACTGCCCTTCATGGTTCTCTGTGATCAGTGGATGTTCTGGTTCCTCCTGGTCCAAACTGGAGGTTGACTCTTGGTCAGAGAGCTGCTGGTCAGTCAGAACCTCTTCTTTTTCCCAGATATGATGCTGTGGAAGTTCTGGACAGGTAAAAAGAAAAATGTTGAGTAATGTGGCAATTAAAAATGTTCCAATGAAGGCAGGAAGTTCAGGGCTCTAGAACGGGATGTTTCTGGTCACAAATGTGACTCAATTTCTCAATGGTGCACCTAAATACAGTGGGGCAAAAAAGTATTTAGTCAGCCACCGATTGTGCGAGTTCTCCCACTTAAAATGATGACAGAGGTCAGTAATTTACATCATAGGTACACTTCAACTGTGAAAGACAGAATGTGAAAAAAAAATCCATGAATTCACATGGCAGGATTTTTAAAGAATTTATTTGTAAATCAGGGTGGAAAATAAGTATTTGGTCACTTCAAACAAGGAAAATCTCTGGCTCTCACAGACCTCTAAGTCTTCTTTAAGAAGCTTTTCTGTCCTCCACTCATTACCTGTATTAATGGCACCTGTTTGAACTCATTATCTGTATAAAAGACACCTGTCCACAGCCTCAAACAGTCAGACTCCAAACTCCACTATGGCCAATACCAAAGAGCTTTCGAAGGACACCAGGAAAAGAATTGTAGACCTGCACCAGACTGGGAAGAGTGAATCTACAATAGGCAAGCAGCTTGGTTTGAAAAAAATCAACTGTGGGAGCAATTATCAGAAAATGGAAGACATACAAGACCACTGATAACCTCCCTCGATCTGGGGCTCCACGCAAGATCTCATCCCGTGGGGCCAAAATGATCATGAGAACAGTGAGCAAGAATCCAAGAACCACACGGGGGGACCTGGTGAATGACTTGCAGAGAGCTGGGACCACAGTAACAAAGGTCACCATCAGTAACACACTACAACGGCAGGGAATCAAATCCTGCAGTGCCAGACGTGTTCCGCTGCTGAAGCCAGTGCATGTCCAGGCCCATCTGAAGTTTGCCAGAGAGCACATGGATGATACAGCAGAGGATTGGGAGAATGTCATGTGGTCAGATGAAACCAAAGTAGAACTTTTTGGTATAGACTCAACTTGTCGTGTTTGGAGGAAGAAGAATACTGAGTTGCATCCCAAGAACACCATACCTACTGTGAAGCATGGGGGTGGGAACATCATGCTTTGATGCTGTTTTTCTGCTAACGGGACAGGACGACTGATCCGTGTTAAGGACAGAATGAATGGGGCCATGTATCGTGAGATTCTGAGCCAAAACCTCCTTCCATCAGTGAGAGCTTTGAAGATGAAACGTGGCTGGGTCTTCCAACACGACAATGATCCCAAACACACCGCCCGGGCAACAAAGGAGTGGCTCCGTAAGAAGCATTTGAAAGTCCTGGAGTGGCCTAGCCAGTCTCCAGACCCCAACCCCATAGAAAATCTGTGGAGGGAGTTGAAAGTCCGTGTTGCTCGGTGACAGCCCCAAAACATCACTGCTCTCGAGAAGATCTGCATGGAGGAATGGGCCAAAATACCAGCTACTGTGTGTGCAAACCTGGTAAAGACCTATAGTAATTGTTTGACCTCTGTTATTGCCAACAAAGGTTACGTTACGAAGTATTGAGTTGAATTTTTGTTATTGACCAAATACTTATTTTCCACCCTGATTTACAAATAAATTCTTTAAAAATCCTCCCATGTGAATTCATGGATTTTTTTTTCACATTCTGTCTCTCACAGTTGAAGTGTACCTATTATGTAAATTACTGACCTCTGTCATCATTTTAAGTGGGAGAACGTGCACAATCGGTGGCTGACTAAATACTTTTTTGCCCCACTGTATCTACACTCAGGTTGCACCAGACGAATAGTAAGAGATGTTGGTCTGTCAGAACCTTCTACTTTTCCCAGAAAATAAGTTGTGGGAGCTCTGGACAGGTTAAAATAAAACTGGAAAACGTTGAGTGACATAACAATTACAAAAAGAATATATAAGTACTATATATACACCACTTTGTTTTAATCATCTGATGCATCTAAAATGCATCTCAATAATTCAAATTTTGATCTCAATTACGATCTGGGTTTTAAATGATCATTAAAACTGACTGAGCCCATTGTTAGCTCCTCCCTCATGCTTACTCTTGCGCTGCTCTGAGTGGCAAATCAAGCGCAGCACTCACAGCTCCAACCAATATCCATTTTAGTGCGAGCTGCAAACACGTCTCAAACAAGTGAGAAGACTGGAGGAATGCTTCGCAGAAGATGTTTGGAGAGGAGAGGATAATGGATGCAAAAAGAAAGATGTTCGTGGAAAATAGTTCAAATGAATTCGGTGATGTGGAAACATCACGGGTTCGAGGAGTCAGACGTGGATCAAGCAACAATGGTGTGTAAACTTTGCTACGCTGTTGTAGCTGCACCACAGAGCAAAATTACAAATGTAGTCAATAATTTGAAGACTGCTCACAAAGTGTCTTATGATCAGGCTATGAAGGACAATAGAGGAAAAAAACCTCTCAACTCCTGCTTCATCCTCACAAACCTTAATTCATGCTACCCTGTACAACGTGACCTGAAGTCCCACCAGCTCCCAGAAGGTCAGAGTAACTCAGACTGGGGCAGATCGGCCCGACTAGTTTCCACAGGCATGGTTCGGTATTTTTCCTGTACTTTCTCCCCTATTTTTAGTCCATGCTCCATTGAGGTACCTGGCAAGGAAGAGTTGGGCCAATATCATGATTCTGGATGCTGATTGGCTAGGGGACAGAGTTACTGGTTTCTCCAGGGTTTTGCCCCCCACCACCCCCACCCCTGCACTTTTCAGGACGCACCGACAGGGGGCAGCAACCCCAAGCACCGACGAACAACTGTACAGCAACTGCTGACAAAATTTACTGGAGCCGCCCATGCCTCTCGCATGCAAATAACTCCACCCCGCGAGAATTCTATTCGAGCCAATCAGCACTGAGATAAACCACACTTTGAGAGAAGTCTTAATCTCACCCGGACTCCTGCTCGTTTACCCCTTTTCCTCCGATTGAAAATATATGTTTCTACTTTATAAGCTTCTTTTATAAATTTACCTTGTAAGCTCTTCTGTTTTATTTTATGCCATTTTATATTATCATATGCTATGGAGACCAGCTCAGATACTAAGGGCCTCTCAGTGTTCTTCTGCGCAAAGATTAATAGCTGTATAACTTCTCCTGCACCAGAGAAAGGAGTGAACACATTCCATCTCTGCTCAGTTCCTCTTCGGTACCGGTGTGTATCTTTTTCTGTCAAGGACGTACCAGGATGTTCCTAGTTATCTCACGGATGCATGTTCTCGTGATGTATTAACTGTCCACTAACAAGGCTGTTATTTTTTTACCTGTCATGACCAATGACGTGTGTATATGGCAAACTGCGTATGTTACATTCCTGTAATCCTCAATAAAAATCAGCCGTTTCAGCAGAACGGGGAGAGTGTCTGAAGGCAACTGTCAGGAGCAGATCGCGGGATCTGCTGGAGTTGCAAGCTCTCCCCCTCTTGAGCGGTGAAACAGTGACTGGACTTCTGATCATTTGACTCCACATTCTACCAACGAAAGGTGTTTATCTCCATCTTCTCCGTACCTGTGCTTGGTCTAACAGAAGAAAGACCAACACGATGTTTTCCCGGGATCAGATAAACATCACTGGAGGCGTTCAGGTAGGAATCAGCGTTTGGCTGCGGGCCAGCGCGCTGCTCACGTAAACAAACATGGAGGTAATTATTCGGTGCATCTTGGGCGATTGCGGACAAACGGAAGGACAAGAGTCTGGTAGACGGTAGCCGGGACACTACCAAAGAGGATCGCGGACAGAAGCAAGGCAACAAGGAGAAGGTAAGTAGAGAAAAGTTTGAAAACGTGGTCGGTGACCGCCGCTAATCCAAGCACAGGCACCATCCCGCTACCGACCCGGATATGGGAAAGGGAGATTAGAATGCTAATTTAGTAAAAAGTATAATCTGATCTCATGTTTTTAAAATGATGACATCAAACGGACAAAAAATAAGAAGTTATGGGAAAATTCTGGTATTTTAAAGACAAAGGGGAAAAATGTAAACAAACAACATGATTACAAAATAACAAATTTTACACGCATACTGATTACATTGTTTTCGTGATATAGAAAGTTTAGTTAGTTAACACGTTAAAAAAACACCGGGATAATAATGAAAACCATGATAACTTTGGTCACAATAACCGCGAGGTTACATTTTCACATCGTGACAACTATTATGTTCCAGTCAGATCAGTGGACTCAGTGGTCTCCTTCAAAAAGCAGCTGAAAACTCACTTGTTCAAGCTGGCTTTTGTATGACCTTCTTCACCACTCTCTCTTTATTCTGCTCTCCCCACCTATTCCACCTTCCTTAGGATCCACTGATTTCCCTCTTTCCAATTCACTCTCTCTTTCTTAACAGTTTTTCTTTTAAATTGCAATTGCTTATTTTTGCTCATTTTACATATATTTTTAAACAATTTCTAAATGCTTTTTTATATTTTTACATTTTTTATTTTTTCATTTTTGTTTTTGTGAAGCGCCTCGTGATTTTTATCTTGAGAGGCGCTATAGAAATGATATTTTCTTCTTCTTCAGTCATGAGTCATTTATATTTCAGTATGCTAATGTTTCTTGCATTGCATCATGGGAATTTTGGGCAAGAAATTATGTATTTTACTTATAATTTGGTTGGTTTACTTACTAATTGTGACCACTTACAAAACATTACAATCAATGTATTGAAATATGATTATGATTCATTGAAGAAGCAAGCCATAACCAATTATAGTGGAATGCAGTTTTGTTATTTTACCGCGGCACCAGCGTTAGATCCAAACTTAAAATATAGTCAGGATTCTAAAATTAACTCTAAAGTTAACGGGTAACCAGTGCAGAGACGTTAGAATAGGAGTGATGTGAGCTCTTCCGTTTGCTGGTGTAACAGAGATAGAAATGTGAATTTCACCATAAGTGATGTGCAGTGATTGTTTGCGTTTTTGGAGCCGCCTACTGGTGGGTCCTTCAGGCGCACTCACGGCCCCTCCCACCAAAGCAGTACTGAAAGCTGGTCGAGGTAGATGTACTGTGAAGCCACTCTGCACTTAACTTCTGTTTAAGTCATTTTAACCTTTAGTTAATATATCAATAGGACCTGTTACAGATATATGTGTTGTTAGAGCGTATTTTGAAAAAGGTTAGCTGTGTTTGCATTGAATTAATAACTTTATAGAAGAGATTCACTCTGGTTAGCATGCTAAGCTAATGGAAACTAGCTTTTCAGTCCTTTAGTAATGTTTGTTGTTTCTTTTTGCCCTGAACGGACCATTGTATGCAGTTGCAGCACACACACACTGATGAACTATTAAGTGCTTGTTTTTATATCAGGTAGGTTCACATGTGTTTGGTAAAATTATAATTTGTAAATGTTTTACCGTTTCAACTGCCGGTGGCAGTTGACTGTTATACCTACTGATGGCAGTTAACTGTTTCAACTGTTAGCGGCTACGCTGTCATTGTTATAACTATGAACTATTTTATATGTTTTATCAGAAAAGAAAATATGTACTGCTTTGAAATGCAAGTTGGTAAATTAATATATTGCAGCTATTATTAAACATCACTATACGATCACATGTAAGAAAAAGAAAAAGAAAAGCAGTAATGAAAGCTTGTGGAGACCGTTGTATGCAGTTGCAGCCAGGGTCCGAAATTAACACTCGCCATTCGCCAAATGCGAGTAAATTGCTCCATTTGGCGAGTAAATTTTTTAGCTCTACCTGCCACCTGGCGAGTAAATGTTTGCACCAAATTAAGTATGTTTATCAGTCATCTTCCATGGATGTCTGATACTCCTCCCGCCTGCATGCAACGTACACAAACGTACGCGAAACGTGAACGCCGCATCCAACGTCATTTCCACCTATCCCATTCAATCAGTTTATCAAGTTAGCCGTTAGCTTCGTGTTAAAACTAGCGGTGAAATGTGGCGGTTTTTAACTGGAGTCAGCCAGCCTTCCAAAAGAAAACTCGTCGAACTGGAAGAAAAACCACCAGGACCAGTGGCAACCAGAAGATTTTGTGAAAAGTGGCGAACTGGAGATGATGGAGTCGTGAGACAATGGCTACATTATGATGGCCACGTAGCGTTGCTGCCTTTCACAGACAACTGGCCCTCGGCATTCTTCAAATATCCAAAAAATGCCCATACTTCCGACTTTGTCTTCTTTGAGGGACAATAAATAACCCGAGTGCTGCCGTCTCCTCCTGCCATTATTTCAGCTTTAGCTTAAAGAAAGTTTTGGTCGTAAACAACAAAGTGCGCATGTGCCGCCGGCACCTTCCAGCAGATGATACGGTGGCTGGTAAGGGTCACCGCGCCTACACCACAGCCACGGTAATCCACCGAGATATATATATATATATTTTTTTTTAAAAACAAGACGGTTATTATTATTGTCAACTTTTTTTTACCGGGGTTTACCGCTACACCGGTTACCGTGACAACCCTAGCCCTGACACACTTTCAGATATTCTCATGGTGCAGCTGTGTTCTCCAGAGATCAAGGACTAGGACCCAAATGAGGCTGTAATGCTTTGGCACAAAGACGGTGTCAGAAGCAGGAGGCCAGACTTCATGGACAGAGAAAACAAGGAGTCTGACTAGATTTCAATGAAAGAGTTCATAAAAACATCTCTAAAAATAAATAAATAGTAAAAATGACAAAAGAGTTGTTTTCCTTATTAATTGATGTTTTAATTATTTTGTCACTCTGTTTGGAATCAACATAATATAGAATAACATGCTTTAGGTAGATCTAAATCATTTAGAATTTTGGCCAGTAAAAGATATGCTTGGCCGGTAGATTTTCATCATCTACCAGCCAACTTGGCTGGTGAGTAAAAAATTTAATTTCGGACCCTGGTTGCAGCGCACACACACTGATGAACTATTATGTGCTTGTTTTTACATCAGATCCTGCCAGTAAAAGGTTTTGAAGAGCAGTCCTGTGTCTGTGGCCTGATTGTACATGTGCGGTGATTTGATGCAACAAAAGGAAAAACTCCAGTTACCCTGGACGGACAAGGAGAGACGGTTACACTCCAGTTAGGAGCCTCGCTGCAGATTTGCCTTTTATTTGACTAAAGTCGTCACATAAAAGGCAGCCCTAAAATAAAGCTGATTTGCCTAAAATGAGCAGTTTCAAGAAGTCCCTTATTGTGACATCACAGTAAGGAAAACAAACATAGCACCCCCCCTCACCTGTTGACCCCGGAGCAGCAGCAGCTCTGATCTCAGCCTCAGGAAACAGTGACAAAAGGAGTTGGTGTCTGTCTGGTTCTGCTTCATCGTGGTCTCTTTCCTCACCAGCAGGAGTCACAAGGGAGGTCACCGTCTCCTGCTTCAGTACACACTGCTCTTCATCCTGACTGATGCAGAGCTCCTCTTGTTTTACAATCTGCAAAGGTTCTGGCCCATCCTGCTCCACTTTCATCTGTGGAGGTTCTGGTCCCTCCTGTAAAGGTTCTGCTTGTTCCTGCTCCAAACTGGAGGTCCTCTCCTGGTTCCAGAGCTGCTGGTCAGTCAGAACCTCCTCATGTGTCCTGACATAATGCAGTGGGAGTTCTGGACAGACAAACAGACCAAACAAAAAGCTGAGTCATGTGACAATAAGAAAGCACACTTCACTTGAACCATCTGATGCATCTGAAGATGTTTTAGAAAACAATGAACTCTTAACCTGTGTGTGTGTGTGTGTGTGTGTGTGTGTGTGTGTGTGTGTGTGTGTGTGTGTGGAACTAGGATTGGGACAATATTCAGCGTAACTTGTACCAAGTTTTGTAACTGCAAACATGTTTCATCACATGTAACTTTGGATTCGTAACTTGTAACTTTGGATTCGTAACTTGTAACTTTGGATTCGTAACTTGTAATTCTCAATTCGTACTTGTATTCTTGTTTTGTAACAGGAACATTGTATTTTGTACATGTATTTTTTATTTTGTAAAATCAAACATTCATTCAGAAACATGAAACTTTTGTTTTGTAACTAGCAGACTTCCAAAATGAAAAAATCAAAGTACAAGTTCCAAATCAAAACTCACAAAACACACATTTCATTCTACAGGTACAAACCTCACATCCTACAATGTTATGGATCATTTTGTCTCGATTCTAGCGCCAGTGGGAGGAACTTGTGTGGAACCAATGAGAGCACGACTCTTAGCTACCAATCACGTTTCTCGAATTCCTGTCCAATCACTGGGAGAGGAGGGCAGGGTTTTGTCAGAGCCGTAAAGAGTTACGACACTCCAAGACTCCTATGGGTTTTCCGGGAAGATGGCGGTCTGTTAGGACGTGCTGACGAGCTCGGATACTACAGCCCATGAAAAATTACTGATTTAAACTGAAAAGCTCCGTGAAAACTCATGATTCCTGTTTATATGTAACCCACAAAATGATGAAGCCAAAGAAAATTCAGCCTGCAAAGACTCTTTTTCCAGCAACGGAGGAGGAGGAACACAGCTACGCTTCACCCATGGATGTTGCTAGCATAGGGAAGCGAGGCAGAGAAACGCCGGAAAAAACCCTGAATGAAAAGAAGACTAAAGGTACGACCGAAGAGAGTAAAAATGAGATGCCGTTAGATGCTATTTTAAAAGCCATTGACTCGCTTGGTAGACGGTTAGATGACCGCATGGAGGACATGCACTCACAAATGCAACAGCACAGCACCATGCTAACAGCTATCGCTAAGACAGTGCAACTCAACTCAGAAGATCTAAAAGAATGCAAAGATAAAATCAAAGATCTGGAGAAACACGTGGAAACACTCAAAAATGAAAATGAAGACATAAAGAGTCGTCTTCTGGAAGCAGAAAGGTACAGAAGAAGGTGGTCTCTTCTACTGATTGGGAGGAAAGAAAAATCAAATGAAAACGTAAGACAGGATATTGTCAAAATTCTGGGGAGAATTGAGCCAGAAATGCTGCAGAAGATGGATGATGTAGTAGACGTGGTGCATAGGATGGGAAAACCCATGGAAGGAAAACATCGGCATATTATCATCCTCTTTGCAAAAAGACACATCAGAGACGACATCTGGAGGAGAACCAAAGCATCAACAGTCTGCAAAGAGGAAGGAATCCGCTTCGCTGAGCATCTGACCCGGGAGGACTGGCAGTCCAGGCAGGCGCTGTGGCCCAAGATTGACCAGGCTAGAAAGGAGGGGAAGACGGCGGGCTTCAGAGGTCCACACGGCTTCATCAACGGAAAACGGATAACAGGATAATGAACTACAAAGGTGAAAATGACATTTTGTTCGGAGCACTCTGAATAAGGGCTTTCAAAAGTTTAAGCTCCTACCTCTTAGCAATTTTTGGGTGGTTTTAAACCCATTTATTTTTCGGTTGTGTTGTGTGTTTTATGGTTCAACTTAAGACAAATATTTCTTTTTCTTCTTTAAATGTAAGGGGACTCAAAGACTCAATTAAACGCAAGGCTATCTTTTTATTCTGCAAGGGGCAAAAATCTAACTTCTTTTTTCTTCAAGAAACTCATTCGGACAAAACTGATGAAAAGTTCTGGTCTCAACAGTGGGGAGACAAAATCCTCTTCAGTCACGGGTCCAATCGCTCAGCTGGGACAGCAATATGTTTCAACAAGCTTGAAGGGGATGTGTTAATAGTCAAAGCTGACTCTGATGGACACTGGATTGCATGCATAACGAAAGTAGACGGGGTACTTGTGATGTTAATTAACATTTATGGATACAATAATGAACAGAAAAACAAATGTCTTCTCTTTCAAATCTCCAACATTATCGAAGAACTTAAAAATAAATATGCCACAGACCATATCATAATGGGAGGGGATTTTAATCTAACTCAGGATGAATGGTTAGATAGATGGCCAAGCAAATACTCTTATCATCATCCAAATCAAATAATGAGTGACTTTATGAACCAGAATAATCTAGTGGATATTTGGAGAGAGCAAAATAAATATGCTAAATCCTTCACTTGGAGAAAACCTAATGGTCAGGCATCCTCAAGAATTGACTATTGGCTAATATCTAATGCTATGGCAGACTATAAGTGTTCTTCAACAATATCAAGTAGTCCTTTAACAGATCACTGTGTAGTTAATTTAAACATAACATGTTTACAAGAAGAAGAAAAAAATATCAGAGATTACTGGAAATTGAATCATAGTCTACTAGAAAATAGGGAATATTGTGACGGCATAAAGAAAATTATAAGAGACACTAAAAAAGATAATGATCTTCAAACAGCTGTACAAAAATGGGAATTTCTTAAATTTTCTATAAGGAAACACTCTATTTTCTTTAGCAAAAAACTAAAAAGACAAAAAAATGAGAAGGAGTCGAATCTCATTCAAATCATTCTTGATATATATGGTAAAACTGATTGGTGTGAAGAAGACAGAATAAACTTAGCCAAATCACAAAACGAATTGGATGAAATTTATTTACAGAAAGCTCAAGGAGCTTATATTCGGTCAAGAGCCAGATGGATGGAGGAGGGGGAAAGAAGTACAGCGTACTTCTGCAGGTTAGAAAAACAAAGACAAGGTAAAAATTCTATCTCATCCCTCATAATTGAGGACAAAGAATGTACAGACTCTAAAAAAATTGCTAAAGAAGTATTTCAATTTTACAGCAAAATCTATGAAGCCTCATTTGATGAAGGAAATGCGGAAACCTTTTTTAACTTAATTCAACATGATATCCCCAAAATTGAAAACAGTTTTAAAAATGATTGTGAGGTAGACTTGAAATTAGTAGAGCTGGATGAGGCAATAAAAAAGATGCGCTTAAATCGTTCACCTGGTCCTGATGGTCTGACGTCAAACTTCTATAAACATTTTTGGGATGAAATTAAATGTTTACTTTATAATGCTATAAAGGAATGTATTAATTCAAATGAACTAATGGTAACAATGAAACAAGGAATAATTAAATTAATACCCAAACCTGGTAAAGACAAACGATTCCTAAATAATCTAAGACCAATAACTTTATTAAACACAGATTATAAAATCCTGACAACTGCATTGGCTACTAGACTGAAAAAGGGTTTATTAAAAGTTGTTAGTCCAACTCAATCAGGTTTTTTAAAAGGAAGATCAATACACAATAATATTCGTATGGTTCTTGATATTATGGATTATAAAGCTTTGTTCCCAGATGACGGTTTGATCTTATTCTTGGATTTTTCTAAAGCATTTGACTCTGTGGAACACAGGTTTATACTTAAAACCCTACAATTCTTTGGCTTTGGTGAAAAATTCCTCAATGTAATCGCTATGTTACATAAAGATATTAATAGTTCCGTTTCACTCTCTAATGGAACCTGCCCTAGATTTCAAATTTCAAGAGGAATCAGACAAGGATGCAGTCTTTCCCCCCTCTTATTCATTTTAGTCACTGAGCTGCTCACTATTCATCTAAAGTCATCTAAAGTCCAAGGTCTAAATATAAATGATAATTCTATCCTAGTTAGTCAATTAGCGGATGATACAACCCTGTTCTTAAAAGACAGAAGCCAAATCCCAACAGCGTTAAAAACAATTAAATTATTTTCAGAGGCATCAGGACTAAATCTCAATATTGATAAATGTGAATTAATAAAAATACATGAAGGCCCGGAGACCTCCTTGTTTAACATCCCTGTTAAAAAAGAAGTCTGCTATCTAGGAATTTATATTACAAATGTTCCAAGTGATAGAAACCAGAAGAACTTTCTGAACACAGTAGAAAAAAAACAAAAAAATTTTAAATAGTTGGCTTCAAAGAGATCTGACAGTATTTGGAAGAACTCTTCTAACAAAGATGGAATCCATTTCTAGACTGATATACCCTGCTCAGTCATTGGCCATATCTCCTAAAATTATTAAAGAAATAAATAAAATGAATCTTGATTTTATATGGAAGAACAAAAATCACTACATTCGAAAAAGCGATTTAATTAAGAATTATGAAGATGGTGGTATAAAAGCTATAGATTTTGAAATTTTGAATGGAGTATTAAAAATTAAATGGCTTAAATCCTTCTTAATAAATAGAGAGGAAATTTGGCATATAATTCCGAAATTTATATTTGAAAAAGTTGGAGGAATGGAATTCCTATTAAGATGTGATTTTGAAATCCCGAAGTTGCCTCTCAAACTTTCTGAATTCCACAGACAAGTCCTCTTTTTTGGAAAAATGGTTTTCAAACATAACTTCAGCCCACATGATGTTCCGATATGGAATAATAGAACTATTTTGGATAGAAACAAAACCATATTTGTAAAAAGTTGGATGGACAGAGGAATTTGGTCAGTGACACATATTTTAGACGAAAATGGAAATACCCTTTCACTTAAGAATTTCAATCTCAAATATGATGTTGACATTTCTGAAAATGAATATAATAAGGTGATTAAAAATATCCCAAGTGCTCTGGTTCATCTAGTTAAAGCTTCTATCGGTTATATATTTAACCCTAGACTCAAAATATTAGCAGTTGATGGGATAGAAATTTTCAATAAAAAATGTAATAATATTTTCCTGAGAAACAAATTAAACAAAACCTTTTATCCAAACCCAATACTCCGATTCTCGTTACTACACAACTTTTCAAAAGGAGAAATTAAAGTTTTGAGAACCAACTATCTAAAATTCTCTTTACCCCCAAAGTATAAAGAAGTCCATTTTAAAATCTTGAATGATATTTACTCATCTAACCATTTTATACAAACTAGATTTAAATTCAATGTGGAAAAATGTTACTTATGCAAACAAAACGATGAATCGACTAAACATCTTTTCTATGAATGTGATCAAATTTTAATGATGTGGAAATCACTCCATGATTGGCTGAACTCCAATCAAATTTATATAAACAATTTCAAAGTTGAAGATATCTTATTTGGCATTATACTAAAAGATAAAAATAATGAATTTCTAATTAATAATCTCATAATCTTAACAAAATTTTTCATACACAAATGCCGATATCTCAAAAATCCACCTACGTGGAATAATCTCAAAAATGAAATTAAACTGCTGTTGAGATCCATAGGTAAAATGTCCACCCCCAATGCTATAAAGCTTTATGATTTCATTATGAACACTAATCTCCAACTGCTTTTTGGATGATATACACAATTGACCTTGTTTGCTCTTTAACTTCCCCCTTGTAAAACTTTATTTATATTCACATAATTTGTTTTATCATGCTGTCTTATTTGTATCCTTTCATGTTCTATTTTTTTTTTTTTTTTTTTTTGTTTATTGTCTTTTTACTATACCAAATTGAATTGTAGGTACAAAATGAAAGTTAAGATGAACACGAACTTTGGAGCTACTCTGTAATGTCATTCTGCTAACAATTTCTGAAATGTAGTCGTTTTTGTTCGTTTCACAAAGGTTCAATAAAAGTTCTTTAAAAAAAAAAAACTCCAAGACTCCTATGGAATGGGGAAGTCACGTGGTTCATGTAGTGTCGAATAGTTCTAAACAGCCCCGCTGCTGCATTGACTGCAGTTCATTTCAACTATTCGGTGTTTCGGAAGGATTTTCTCCGGTAAGTTGATGAAATGTCATCATTTTGTTGCATTGTGAAGCGTTAGCTAACCGCTTCGTTGTCTCCTCACAGAACAAGGCTATCCCAGCATGCTTTGCGCGCCGGCTGTGGATTTTCAACAGGCAGAGAAAGGGGAGAGCTATGAAGTTTTAAACGTAAGTTTGATAAAAACTAGCCGTAGAAACCTAAAAAGCTTAAAGCGGTTCAGTTTATAGACATTTTTCGTTTGTATATTTGTTCTTTAAATTACATTTTAGGCAGAAATCAGCCAGAACGAGTTTGTATCGCGGGTCCCAGTTATTCCTGTGTGTGTGTGTGTGTATGTGTGTGTGTGTAGCGAATTAAACTTGTCATTTGTTTTAAGGACAACGGAGCAAAGAAGCGTTTTTATTAAGCTTAGAGGTGAAGAGTGAAGCTGTTTACACACAACCACAGAAGTTCTTCTGTGAAAAGTAGTTTTACATTCGGGGATTTACACAGCTGACACGTTTTAATGAAGTAAAAAGTTTGTGTGAAGAATATAATTTTTATCTTCTCGTGTGGATAAATGTAAAAATGTGTTTATTGCCTTTTTGTCACCTGTGGTCTCTGATTTTCTCTGTAGGACTGCAGGTGTCCATGGTCAGAAGAGGCTTTACCTGTCCTGGGAGAGAGGCCTTCTACTGTCATCATGTTAATGTTATTTAGCTGTTTGATATTTGAACACATTTATTAAAACAAATACTGAGAACTCTTTCTGGTCATTGATTTTATCACCAGTTTTATTATTACAGATGTTTTTTAACATGTTACATGAACAGAAAATGAAAAGATGGTAAGGAGACAAGATTATTTATAATAGGTTACACTTATTTACAGATCAAAACCAGTATGGACCAGTTTTGTACGGTTAAAGCAGGATTAACCTGAGTGACTCTTCCTGGATCCTTTATTTAAACTGACTGAGCAGGAAGTCTTTAACAGTGCAGCTGGATCTGCTGCAGGAGGATCCAGACGTGGATGGAGGGCTGGAGCAGACCCGTGGCTGGACATTTCTGGTCAGAGGAACATCATACAGGACGGTCTGCAGAGAGAGCTTTGGGACGCTTCCTCTCACTGTCCACTCCATCGTCCATCTACAGGGACTGGTGGGCTGGCTCAGACGACGGCTGTTACATCTCTGTGAATGACTTGCCGTTAACAGCAGTGGTGGTCTGCTGGTACCTCCTGCAGGACAGAGCTCCACTGACCTCCACACGCATCTTCCTCAGGCTCATCCTGCAGACCCACAACTTCACCAGCACAGAGGCAGATGTGCAGCACAGTGCATGCTGACCTGTAACAGATTAAATAAGAGTTTGTTTTTTTTTATAGAAAAATGTAAAACAAACATATAACCTGCAGTACACTGGTTCTGTTCAGTTTAAAGAAAAGCAGCAGGGAAAACTACAGAGAATTTACATTTTTAAGACAGATCTAATCATTATTAGGCTTAAGTTGAATAAACAAATGCACATTGAAAACACTTCAATGCTATTTTATTAAAAAGCCTGTTTTTTAAAAACGTTTTACCCTCATTTGATGCAAAATAAGTTCTATGGTCTAATTTACATCAGAAAACATCCTACTGCATTCAACATTTATAATGCATTTGGTTTATATTAATTACCTACATGATAATACTCTGTAGTAATGTGTTGTGTATGTTTAACAAGTTCATTCTGTAGCTTAAAACATACATGAAACCATCTAAAGTTAACATGTAAGTCCTGAAAGCTTCTAGAATAAACAAAGTTACTTTACCTGAAAACGGTTGTGAAAAAACGCTGCTGATGGACATGAAGCTGCTGCAGCTCCTTAATAATCCTTCTCCATTTTCGAATTCAGCTGAATTCCGACAGTCTAGCCGTCACCTCTACGGTGACCCGCAGGTCCCGTCACAGCCGTGGCGGCAGCTACACACAAAGGAAAAATGCTAAAACTAGCGAAAATGGATAATGATTAGACCTGTCTTTAAAATGTAAATTCTCTGTAGTTTTCCCTGCTGCTTTTCTTTAAACTGAACAGAACCAGTGTACTGCAGGTTATATGCTTGTTTTACATTTTTCTATAAAAAAAACAAACTCTTATTTAATCTGTTACAGGTCAGCATGCACTGTGCTGCACATCTGCCTCTGTGCTGGTGAAGTTGTGGGTCTGCAGGATGAGCCTGAGGAAGATGCGTGTGGAGGTCAGTGGAGCTCTGTCCTGCAGGAGGTACCAGCAGACCACCACTGCTGTTAACGGCAAGTCATTCACAGAGATGTAACAGCCGTCGTCTGAGCCAGCCCACCAGTCCCTGTAGATGTACGATGGAGTGGACAGTGAGAGGAAGCGTCCCTAAGCTCTCTGCAGACCGTCCTGTATGATGTTCCTCTGGCCAGAAATGTCCAGCCACAGGTTTGCTCCAGCCCTCCATCCACGTCTGGATCCTCCTGCAGCAGATCCAGCTGCACTGTTAAAGACTTCCTGCTCACTCAGTTTAAATAAAGGATCCAGGAAGAGTCACTCAGGTTAATCCTGCTTTAACCGTACATAACTGGTCCATACTGGTTTTGATCTGTAAATAAGTGTAACCTATTATAAATAATCTTGTCTCCTTACCATCTTTCCATTTTCTGTTTATGTAACATGTTCAAAAACATCTGTAATAATAAAACTGGTGATAAAATCAATGACCAGAAAGAGTTACCAGTTAGTATTTGTTTTAATAAATGTGTTCAAATATCAAACAGCTAAATAACAATAACATGATGACAGTAGAAGGCCTCTCTCCCAGGATGACCACCAGGTAAAGACTCTCCTGACCCTGGACACCTGCAGTCCTACAGAGAAAATCAGAGACCACAGGTGACAAAAAGGCAATAAACACATTTTTACATTTATCCACACGAGAAGATAAAAATTATATTCTTCACACAAACTTTTTACTTCATTAAAACGTGTCAGCTGTGTAAATCCCCGAATGTAAAACTACTTTTCACAGAAGAACTTCTGTGGTTGTGTGTAAACAGCTTCACTCTTCACCTCTAAGCTTAATAAAAACGCTTCTTTGCTCCGTTGTCCTTAAAACAAATGACAAGTTTAATTCGCTACACACACACACACACACACACACACACACACACACACACACACACACACACAGGAATAACTGGGACCCGCGATACAAACTCGTTCTGGCTGATTTCTGCCTAAAATGTAATTTAAAGAACAAATATACAAACGAAAAATGTCTATAAACTGAACCGCTTTAAGCTTTTTAGGTTTCTACGGCTACTTTTTAACAAACTTACGTTTAAAACTTCATAGCTCTCCCCTTTCTCTGCCTGTTGAAAATCCACAGCCGGCGCGCAAAGCATGCTGGGATAGCCTTGTTCTGTGAGGAGACAACGAAGCGGTTAGCTAACGCTTCACAATGCAACAAAATGATGACATTTCATCAACTTACCGGAGAAAATCCTTCCGAAACACCGAATAGTTGAAATGAACTGCAGTCAATGCAGCAGCGGGGCTGTTTAGAACTATTCGACACTACATGAACCACGTGACTTCCCCATTCCATAGGAGTCTTGGAGTGTCGTAACTCTTTACGGCTCTGACAAAACCCTGCCCTCCTCTCCCAGTGATTGGACAGGAATTCGAGAAACGTGATTGGTAGCTAAGAGTCGTGCTCTCATTGGTTCCACCCAAGTTCCTCCCACTGGCGCTAGAATCGAGACAAAATGATCCGTAACATTGTAGGATGTGAGGTTTGTACCTGTAGAATGAAATGTGTGTTTTGTGAGTTTTGATTTGAAACTTGTACTTTGATTTTTTCATTTTGGAAGTCTGCTAGTTACAAAACAAAAGTTTCATGTTTCTGAATGAATGTTTGCTTTTACAAAATAAAAAATACATGTACAAAATACAATGTTCCTGTTACAAAACAAGAATACAAGTACGAATTGAGAATTACAAGTTACGAATCCAAAGTTACAAGTTACGGATCCAAAGTTACAAGTTACGGATCCAAAGTTACAAGTTATGAATCCAAAGTTACATGTGATGAAACATGTTTGCAGTTACAAAACTTGGTACAAGTTACGCTGAATATTGTCCCAATCCTAGTTCCATATGTGTGTGTGTGTGTGTGTGTGTGTGTGTGTGTGTGTGTGTGTGTGTGTGTGTGTGTGTGTGTGACTGGACTCAGTATCTATCAGACTGACTCGTTTAACAAGTCTCTGATTGTAGAACATCAGCTGGAAACGTTCACCAAGTCTTTAAAGTTTGTCTCTTTTAAACTGATTTAGTGGAGTTCCTGAAAATGAAAACTTCCTAAAATCCCCGAAATGTTATTGATTTGTTTCTCTAAAGTGGAACAAAGTTTACCGCAGACTGATTTCAGCTCAGTTGTGTCAAAAAGCTTCAGAACAGCAAACGGATCCAAGCAGACTGTCCTGAGATTGTGTCCTCAGTAAAACCACATGAGTCCCGCTGCTGTTTCATACCTATTCTGTGTAAGTTGATCTGTGGTTTCCAGCTGATCTCCAGCAGTCTGCGCTGACGGTCGATCTCTTCCTCGTAGTGGACGATGGTTTTTTCAAACTCGGAGAAGATTTCTGCAGCAGCAGCAGTTAGCCGCTCTCTGATCACCTCTCTCAGAGACTGAGCTGAAGACATTGTTGCTGCAGAGCCTCAGAGGTTCCCCTCACACACCAGCACAGCAAGCTAGCGTTGGTAGCTAACAACAAGCTAGCTCTGGTAACAGCTTCCGGTCATGTGGCAGCGTGAAGGCGCGTTAGCGCCACCTACTGGACTGGAGTTGGACCAGCAACATCAAGGAAGAGATGAAGGTGTGGATCACAGGTTCAGGTCAAAAGGTGACAGAATGAGACTAATAACAGTGGAAAGAGAAACTGTTGAAGATCTGAGGGAAACGATCAACAGAGCAGATTTAGCTGGAATCACACAGCTGCAGGTTTTTAGGGACAAAGAGAAAACTGATCCATCTGTTACTGGAATTCAACAATCAGTTCTCTGGAGGAACAAATTATTTCATCCCTCCTGATGTTCTTAGTTCAGTTCAGTTTAATTATAAAGTGTTAGATGGGAAGAGACACTAGAGAGGATGTAACAAGGGCGTAGGAACGAGTTTAATATTGCTGTTACACCAGAGACCTTCATCAGGAATTCCTGAAGCACCTTTCCCAGATGAGCGGTGACTCCTTCTACTCATTATGTGATCATTAAAATCATACTGCATTCATGTTTAGAGCAACTCTCAAATACCAAATATAATCTCAAGTTTCCTTTTATTTTGTCTTGTGTTGCATGTTAAAATATACATTGTAGTAATACTTTGTCTCTTTTTGTTGAATCACCTGTTGCTTGAACTGATATTGAGAATTATCTCACTGAAGTCAAACAGGGTGTGTCTAATGAGACACCGCTGGATTTGTGAAAGTCAACACAGGCTTTCTATTCAAAACCTTCCCCTGTAGATAATGATTTTGCTTCTCAAGCATTTGTGGAATGCATATTTTCTGTGTGTGGAGTGCTCCCTACTAACACAGAAAGTCGCCACAACGTCGCATTTTGAGACGTTTCGTTTGTGACGTAGTGACAACGTAGCTGCTACGTTTAGGTTACTACGTTCCACAGGGGACGTTGTTGGTACACTGCTGAAACATCACACTACAACGTCCCCCAAAATTTGCTTTATAATCTCTGTTAAATGTCCTCTCTGTCACTTATTCGGCACTTTGAATAACAACGTTGCTGCTACGTTGTTACAACGTGATAACTGTAGTTCCAGAATAAATAAAATTTAAGAGAGATTTTATGATCAAATTAGATTTTCAGCTTATCCATACTGTGATTCTAATCTGGATTTTGTTAAAATTAAAAATGTTTTCCTCAACACACATGAAAAATAACACACAAAGATATTTACGTAGCTAATGTAACAGTCCATGGTTAAGATAAACATTGTCACTATTTTAGTTAATAAATATTGAAATAGATTGTAGAGAGGACGAATCTTCTCTACAAATTCTATCATAGGACATTCGTACATTTTATTTTTTATTTTTTTATTTTTTTATTTTGTCCCGCTGTCTGGGCTCCATCCAGCCAATCAGGCCCTAGGCACGTGCCTACTTTTCCTTTGCGTTAATCCGGCTCTACCTGTAGATAATGATTTTGCTTCTCAAGCATTTGTGGAATACATTTCTTCTGTGTGTGGAGTGCTGTCATCTGGACAGAGAAAAAGAGCAACCACATCTCTGGAACAACGGGTTTTCCTTAAAATCAACAAAAAGCTCTTAAAAAACCCAATTATTTATTAAGGGAAATCTAAACTACAAAAACATATCAAACCAGCTTCCAACAACTGTGATTGACTATCAGAATATGTGCAAAAAGTATCCAAAACATTGTACCCATGATGGCTAGACTGTTATGTTGCAGTATTGACAGTCCGTTTCAGGGGCAGGTCAGGTTGGCTCTGTTCACACATGTATCAGCACAGCATGAAACACACGAACAGTTGAGATCTTTTGAACTGGATTTCTGTTCAAACGTTTAGAACAATTCATGTCATGCTATTTGGATGACCTCAGTTTGTAGGAAAATATGAACGAGTTAACAGCTAGTCTGAGATTCACACAAGCTGTTAACGTGTCCATCTCATAGTGCAGGAGTGTCCTGCACTATTGTGGTTTTAGTGATGTCAGTCAGTTCCATTGTCTTGTCAGAACTGTAGAACCAGCATTTAATTTATTGTCTCCTAATATTCATATTTAATCTAAATTACTTCAGAGATTGCAAGTTCTGTTGACCTACATACACTTGCTGTTTTGAAAACGCATTCTGCAGCTGGTTTGTATCCTGTTCAGCTCATTTTTTGTTATTCTGCCTGGAACGTATGGTAGCTCACCTGTTCAGAAAGAATATGGTTTTGGAAACAGTTTGGTTACACACAGCAATTTCTATTATCAGTGTTGGGTAATTTTATTTAGTCAATCCAGGATTACCAAAGAAAGTACAACACACACAAGGGGGTTAGAGATTAAAGGTGTTAGGTTATCAGTACCATTTACCAATAATCAACAACCAGACATTGCAAAATCGGACAGAAAGAAGATACACACCAGTGGCTTTCTGTTCGGTCTCTCGACGAGCAGATGCTCACGAAAAGGTTTTATTCAAAAGTACATAAGCACACACACATTAAAGATGAACACATCCACCCCCTCACAGAAAGGAAACTTTCCCAGGTTCTTGGTATAACAGAGAAAAGCTCCGTCTGCACTTCACTAGGGAGCTTTCGTGATAACAGAACCGCAGACTTACAAGGTGCCTCCATAAGTGGTTTTTATAAACACCGTGTATCTAACCCTGCTAATTTACGTCCACTAACTCCAGCTGTTTCTGTAGTTTCTGATTCCTCCACCTCACTCAGGCCCCATGAGATGTCTAAGCTGCAGCTGTTACACCTGATACACCAGAGACCTTCATCAGGAATTCCTGATGAAGGTCTCTGACCGAAAGCTTGACCAATAAACCGGAGGCACAGAATAATAACAAAATACGAACATGGAATGAACCTTCGTTTGAATTAAAAAACACCAGATGGTACCCAGACAAAATCGTTTTCCATGCATCTAATACTGTTTTTATCCAACATTCCCCCCTGTTCAAACGATGGTCATCCTAACTAATTGGTGTAATAAAAACAACAACAACTATTCTATGATTACGGGTAATGGTCGCAGCTGCAAAGAATCAACCTCTAACACACAGAAGACCACAAAAGAAGTAGTGACCTTTATAAAGGGCTGTAAAAAATAAGTAACAACCTGTAACAAAATTAAAGCAGCTCCAATAGTTGGCAACCTGTAATAAAATGAATGATTATAGCAGTGATTATATCAAACTCAAGGATTATACCAAAAATCAAAAGACAACGATTATACTGATTAAGTAAACATATAAAAGAACATAAAATCAACTGTGCTGATCACCAGGACATCAATCAACAATGGTTACAGAAACTGCAGTTCACATTGTAGACATCATAATGAAACCAGCTTTATTAGGAAAAATATGAACTAAAGCATCTGTCATAAGCTTGTCAACCATTCTCTTACCCCAAACATGGCTTAAACACAGCTTAAAACTAAGTAAATCATGACCATGATAAAGATAACAGTAACAAACATTGTCAAAAAACCGATACCAATTTCTTTTTGACAGCCACTCTATGAAGCACGGGAGGTGTCGGGGGCTTAGCAGCTCTAATTGGGGCAGAGCCGAGGTTCACAGGGCTTATCAGTCGGGACTATGTGGGACTGCAGTGGGGGCAGAGCAATGAAGACCACGTTGGGATGGTGTTGCACTTTCGTCGATGATGATGCAGATGAATCCTGGTGGTGGGGCTGTTGATGTGAGGGGCTTGGTTTTTGTTGGTGGAGAAGGGGCAAAAGGTCATAACAGACCCAGACTCTCTTACTTCAGCTCGAATGTCCTCGTAGGGACGCCGTCCTCATGCGATGTGAGGCGGGTGGCAGGGAGCCAAGCTGCACTTTAGGCCACATCAGCTGTGTGGCAGGAGAGAGAGCCATCCTGAGCAAAAGGCGTGTGTCAGCAACTTTGATGTTGTTATAGCAACGTGGGATCCTTTGACGGCAGGGAAGGTGAGGGGATGTCTTTTTGGTCAGGGAGCCATGAAACCAGACGGGAGATTTGGGGCGCTGGAACTTGACATCGTTGGAGGCAGGTCACAGTGTCATGTGGAAGGGGTCAGGAGGAGCCTCATCCACCAGTTGTCGATTCCGTTGCTACCCCAACTGCTGCTGTTTCCACTCGTTCTGTCAGATGCTGAGGGGCGGTTCCAGGGTAGAGTGCGACCACCAACATCAGCAGCGGTATGGTGGACCCTGCAAGCTTAAGGCAGATCGTTTACTTATCTGCCATCCTCGGTGAGCTCGCATGAGGATGGTGCAGTCGTGGCGGCCCCGCTCAGCAGTTCCGCAGCAGTGGGAGGGATGAGATGAGTGACCTTGATGCCCCATCTGGTAGCAGCACTTGCATCAGGACCCCAATCTCCTTGGTTTCACGGCCGGTAGTGAGAAAGCACAAAGAGTCTGCGAGATCACTGTGGAATGTGACTTGACTTCAGCAACTACCATCCAATATTCTTTCAAATCAGTCCAATCGGGACCCCCAGTGGGGCTGAAATTCACCAGAAACTGACCACCTCAGTCCACATGGTATCATCCTAAGCTAAAATCAAGACCACACACACATGTGAGGTCAGCATACAAACAGGACGAAGAAGGCTGGGCCCCCTCCAGTTACAGAGTTACAAAATACTGAGATGGACAGAAAATGCCCTGAGACATTCTTTTATGTGTTAAAAAGGACCATGATATACAGGAAAAAACCTAGCATTGCGTTCCCCCTGAACGTAACTGTTTGAACAACAAAAGATAAAATAATAACAATAAACACAATGTCATATCAAAAGACCTGAGTAAGATGCCAGTAACTCAAAAGTCAATTAGTGAGTTAGAATTGTGACTCAGTTTATCAATAAACCACATCAAAGCATATTCATTAACTCATGTTCCGTGATATATTAAACTAACCTGCGCCAGTAATTAAAATAACTAGGGCCGGGACTTTAACGCGCTAATCACGATTAATTAATTAGAAAAAAATAACGCGTTAAAAAGAATTCACGCATTTAATTGCAGCTTGCATTTCAAGCATGGCGGAACCTTTGTTATTGCACGATTTCCTCGTAGACTGAATATCACTGACGCACACAACAATGCACAGTGCTAATGGCTACTAAAACCGAATAAAAACAGAAAGAAGTTGCCTTGCTTGGACTGATGCAGGATTTAGGAAACACGTCCGCCTCTTTTCTTAACTTGGAAAAAAAAACTTCCAGACAACAACGGAGTCCGTGTCGCGGACATTTTTCAGAGATCGTCTCTGCTGCGGCCGCCCGGTGGCAACGGGAACTTTACAAAAGTTGCGGTAAGCTATATTTTTAACATTTACGTAACATCTGTGCAGCGCTGAAAGCACCAGACAGAATAATTCTGTGCCCTAACAGTAGTTTATGAAAGTAGTCAGACAAACGAGAGGCACCTGGCTGCCGCTGGGAGAACGCTCCGTGTTCTCACTACTCTGTAAACAATCACAAACAACGTGTCTTACAGTTGAAAACAGAAGTTTAAGTTAAAACAGAAACACTCTGAAACTTTTCTGATGATTTTCTAAACAATTCTGTCGGGGAATTATATGTTTTTGAGACGAGTCGCTGTCTAAACATCATCGCATTAATTACTATCATTAAGCTGCGAGGTGTGTTGAAGCCGTCATCAGCTAAGGGGAGGATGCTTCAGTGCATCAGGGGCAGCGAGGAATGAGAAAGTTGTGATCAGGCTGGAGATCACACCAGATTCGCTGCAGCAGGTGTCAATCTGCGGGTCTGCAGCATCCCCGTATTAACGTGACATCAGGACTTCCCACGTAAGGAAGGTCCGCTCACCTGTTCGTCAGATCATTATTTCCTCGCCATGATCTTTTATCATCCCATCATCCTCCAGTCATCCAACTGGAACCAGTTAGTGTTCCTGATCATTCTCAGAATATGGCACGCCTGCTCTGGTGTTAAAAGTTAGAACATTTAAGTCCCAGATCATATTTGTGCCTGTTCTACTGTCATTTTGAAGGATTATTATTTATGTGTTTTTACTACATTATGAGTAGAAATGTTAATAAAAACTCCCAATTATACAAACAAGTGAAACTGGAAAAATTAATCTGGTGCAAAGTCAAATTTATTTCAGTCATTCAACTAGACAGTGTCATGACTCCCATCCTTTACCCTCATCTGCCTTATCATTTCCTCCTCATTCAGCTCACCTTGTCCTCTCACCAAGCTCAAGCCAAGCCCTGTTTTCCCCAGCAACCTCTGTCAGCTTCAATCAGCTCCATTCATTCCACCTGCTCCTGTAATGAGCCTCATCCCATACACCTGCTTCCCCTGCTATAAAAGAACCAGCCATCCAGTCAACAGATGCCAGATTATTACAGCCCTGCCAGTAATTCTCCAGCCATCCACCCTGCCTGATCTCAGCCTCCAGACCTCGTTTTTCTCCTGACCCCTGCCTTGCTCACTGCCTGCCATTTGGACCTTGCCTGTCTCTGAACCTGCCTCAGCCTTGCCCTCCAGGTACCTCTGCCTCCAATAAAGACTTTTTTATATATTTTTACTGTGTTGGCGTCTTCACGGGTCTTCAGAACTCTGTTCCTGACAGAATAATCTGGCCAAATTCTGACCCTACGCCGACACAGCACTTGGGAGTATTTTTTTCTCTCTTCATACCTGTCATGGAGTATCTCACGCTCCTGGACTTCATGGAACTAGAGAAGGAGCAAGCGTCACCATTCTGGGGAACGCGGCTGGCCATCAGGCCACAGCCACGCAGAGGTTCCACTCCTCCGTCCAGGCCTGCTGCGGCCGTCTTGCGCAACGGGTACCTGACAACGCAACAGTGGCAGTCCGGAAGACCTTCTACTACTTCGTGGCCTTCACAGACGCAAGGTTTTGCAGCTACGCCGCTCAAGCCTCGAGTCCCTCCGTCCCGTCCACGTCCAGCGGTGGTCCCTGAAGACGCACAGCGTCCACGTCCAGCGGTGGTCCCTGGAGATGCACCGCGTCCACGTCCAGTGGTGGTCCCAGGAGGCGCACCGCATCCACGTCCAGCGGTGGTCCCAGGAGTCTCACCGCGTCCACGCTCAGTGGGGTTCCTACTTCCGCTTTTTGAAGAGGTTCCACCTGCCCCGGTCCATCGGTGGTTCCAGGGGTTGCATCGCATCCACGTCCAGCGGTGGTCCCAGGGGGCACATCGCATCCACGTCCAGCGGTGGTCCCAGAGGTCACACCACATCCTCGTCCAGCAGAGATTCCACCTTCGCCTGTCCGAGAGGCTCTGCCTGTCCAGGTCCAGCGGTAGTTCCCGGCGTCGCATCGCATCCATGTCCAGCGGTGGTCCCAGGGTCCGCACCACATCCATGTCCAGCAGGGGTCCCGCCTCCATCTGTCCTGCTCCAGCGGTGGTCTCAAAGGTTGCGCCGCATCTTGTCCAAGCGGTGGTCCCGAAGGTCGCACCGCATCCTGCCTCGGCGGTGGTCCTGGAAGACGCACCGCATCCTGCCTCGGCGGTGGTCCTGGAGGACGCACCGCATCCTGCCTCGGCGGTGGTCCTGGAGGACGCATCGCATCCTGCCTCGGCGGTGGTCCCGTGGGACGCATCGCATCCTGCTCTGGCGGTGGTCCCATGGGACGCATCGCATCCTGCCTCGGCGGTGGTCCTGGGGCACGCATCGCATCCTGCCTCAGCGGTGGTCCCGGGGCACGCATCGCATCCTGCCTCGGCGGTGGTCCCGGGGGACGCATCGCATCCTGCCTCGGCGGTGGTCCTGGGGAACGCATCGCATCCTGTCTCGACGGATGAGGTCCACAAGGCCCCGGTCCCGGCCCAGCCCGTCCAAGGGGCTCCGGCCCAGCCTTTCCATGAGCCTCCAGTCCAAGGGTTGACGCCTCCAGGCTCTGAAGTAGACATCCCTGGTTCCTGCTCTGAAGAAGACGTCTCCTGCTCTCAAGTTCCCCAGTCTCAAGTTCCAGAGTCTGTGTCCCCTCTTAGTCGTCCTCCTCTAGTGTCCCCTCTTAGTCGTCCTCCAGTGTCCCCTCTTAGTCTTGGTCCAGTGTCCCCTCTTAGTCTTGGTCCAGTGTCCCCTCTAAGTCTTGGTCCAGTGTCCCCTCTAAGTCTTGGTCCAGTGTCCCCTCTAAGTCTTGGTCCAGTGTCCCCTCTAAGTCTTGGTCCAGTTTCCCCTCTAAGTCTTAGTCTTGGTCCAGTTTCCCCTCTTAGTCCTCGTCCACCAGTGTCCTCTATCACCACACTCCTACAGTCCAGGCTCCTGGTTACCCGTCGCCAGCCCCCCAGACTCTCACAGTCCAGGCTCCTGGTTACCAGTCGCCGGCCCACCAGGCTCCAACAGTCCCGGATCCTGGTTTCCCATCGCCGGCCCCCCAGACTCTTCTGGTCCTCCTTCCTGGTCCCCCTCCTCCCGCCCTGCTCTGGTTTCCTGTGGGCATCTGGTATCCGCCCTTGAGGGGGGGGGGGGGGGGGGGGTCTGTCATGACTCCCATCCTTTACCCTCATCTGCCTTATCATTTCCTCCTCATTCAGCTCACCTTGTCCTCTCACCAAGCTCCAGCCAAGCCCTGTTTTCCCCAGCAACCTCTGTCAGCTTCAATCAGCTCCATTCATTCCACCTGCTCCTGTAATGAGCCTCATCCCATACACCTGCTTCCCCTGCTATAAAAGAACCAGCCATCCAGTCAACAGATGCCAAATTATTACAGCCCTGCCAGTAATTCTCCAGCCATCCACCCTGCCTGATCTCAGCCTCCAGACCTCGTTTTTCTCCTGACCCCTGCCTTGCTCACTGCCTGCCATTTGGACCTTGCCTGTCTCTGAACCTGCCTCAGCCTTGCCCTCCAGGTACCTCTGCCTTCAATAAAGACTTTTTTTAAATATATTTTTACTGTGTTGGCGTCTTCACGGGTCTTCAGAACTCGGTTCCTGACAGACAGAGAGACTATTTAAAGGCTCAGGAACCCGTTGCAGGTGTTTTCTATTTGTAATTATAAATTTTAGTTGATTTGGGTTTTGTTTCATAGCACACAGTGACATTTGAATAATTAAAATGCATATTTTATTAAAAGCTTTAGTTTACAGTAATAATGTCTAATGTTTGATTCTCTGTCTCATAACTTTAATTAAAATTTACTTGAGAGCACATTTTCCTGAACGATTAAAATGCGATTAATTGAGATTAATTAATTACAAAGCCTGTAATTAAAATTTTTTCATCAATTCCCAGCCCTAAAAATAACCCATCAATGGTTGACAAGACTCATTTGATAAGAAATTTCTAAAGTTATGAAAGATCCGAACACCTTTTTAAAGCAGCAATTCAAATCATTATGTCCATAAATCCCAACTGGGTAAGATGTCTGCTTATGGCAGGTAAACCAAGAAAAACAAAATCACTAGTAAGGATGTCCTTTATTGTTTAAAGATAAGGTGTCTTAGGGTCAAAACAAAACATGTAAACAGTCACAGAAAAGGTTAACATATATCGACCCAGGACTGAATAAACTCAAACAACATGGACTAGTCATAATATAAAACCATTAGATAAGAAAAAACTGTCTCAGCAACAGAAGAGAACAGAGTTTTAACCATGAACCCTGAATAGGGTAGGAAATCTATTTTCTAACAGGCTGGATCCACTGCGTTTGCTTCAGGGTGAACGAAGGCCAAAATAACAAACAAAAATCTAGCTCTCACAACCCCTAAAACATCATATAATAAAAACCTGAATGCATGTATCTAACCCTAGCTGACTGACCTATTCAAAACAAGCAAAAGGTTAAAAAAATGGCAGTTCACCCTTACTGTAGCAGTACTAAACAAAATTTCACTAATGGTTGTACTGCGTTGTGTAGAATTCCAGCACCAAGACCAAAGAAAATGATAAAATAGAATGTGGTGAGAAGAACTCACCGTAAAATTTAAAAATAAGCCTCACAAAATCAGCTCATTACTCCAAAGAAATTGACAAAGATCAAAATTAAACCACTTCTTTCAAAATTAACCTAATTAGTCAAAACAGTAAAAGAAAACAGGTAAAAGAGTTCGTAATATTTGGCTTGGGTGTTTAGACTGCCAATGTAAACATTTGGTTTACATTCCAGAAAGGGACTGATATTGTTAAACTAAGACCATCGGAACCAAAACGTTTGACAAGTTAAATTAAATGATTCATTCCCCCTGATGACACATGACCTGGGCCATGTGCCACCAGAGCGGCAGCTTTAAAAAGAACAGGTTTACCAAGTGAATCACATCCATCATATCTGAGACCCACTTCTCTGACTGTTCTCCAGGTTTGAACGGGTGCATCCTTTCAGCCGGCGGAGCGGAAGGAGCAGCTGCAGCTGAACCTGCCACTTCACCAGCTCCCCGATACGACAGGGGAGTTGGCCCAAGGGATAAATCATCGCATAGTTTTCTGAAGACGGATACATCCTTCCCTGCTTCGCCTTCGTTATCTTTTTGTTTCCCCTTCTCTCTGTCTTTTCTGTTCTGTCTGCCCACCCGTCTTATCTGCCTCATCTCGCTGTTTCTCCCTTCCTCTGTCTTTTGATTTAGTATTCCCCATCGTATCTAAGATGTTTTGTTTACTGGTTTAGTAAAACACGCTGGAAGAACTCCGATTAGTTCTAGTATGAAAATTATTAGAAAGACAATCAGACTGCTTATGAGGGCGTATAGTAAAATAATTCTTTCAGATAACATTTGGCAGCCACCGAAACAAATTAACGCTTCCCTCTTTCTTTCTCACACACACACAGCAAAACAGCAGCCGAACCTGTCACACAGCAAAACCACTCTCAAAGGAACACACACACGGCGAACTGGCAGCCGAACCTCCCCCAGCGAACCGGCAGCCGAACCTGTCACACGTAACACTCTCAAAGTCCCCGATACATGCACACCCCCACACACACACATTAAAGATAAACAAATCCACCCCCTCACAGAAAGGAAACTTTCCCTGGTTCTTGGTATAACAGAGAAAAGCTCCGTCTGGACTTCACTAGGGAGCTTTCGTGATAACAGAACTGCAGACTTACAAGGTCAAACCTCCCTGCCGGAGGCACAGAATAATAACAAAATATGAACATGGAATAAACCTTCGTTTCAATCAAAAAACACCAGATGGTACCCAGACAAAATCATTTTCCATGCATCTAATACTGTTTTTATCCAACAGTCAGTATCAGACTATCAGTCTTGTCACTGATATGTAACTTAATATTACAAAAACCTATAAAAAATTGATTAACACTAATAAAAACTAAACTGAAACTAAAAAGTAGATGAAACTAAAACCAAACAGAACAAAAACAAACCTTGAAAATAAAGACTAATGAAAAATGCTTAACAATTAAAATATTGGCCAACCACAGTTTATGTATATTAAAATGTAAAATTTCCAGCTAAATTAGAATAAACGACTAAAAATATCAATGAAAAAAGATTAATTTGTTAACAGACTACATAGAATTTTATTCAACAAAAGAAAAAAATATCAGAGTGCCTTTAACAGAGCGTTGGAATTAGCTTATGTGTTCAATGAGTGGGTGACATTTTTTTTCAGTGCGGTGGTCTCTGGTAGGATTGAATACCTCGTAAATGGTTCTCAGGGGGAACAATTATACTGTTGCACCATTTCTCAGACCTAAAATTTTCTCACATCACAGCTGAGCTTTAGGCCCTGTCCACACGTAGCCGGGGATCTGCCAAAACGTAGATATTTTTCTACGTTTTGGCCTGTCATCGACACGAAAACGGAGTTTTTTTCACATGAAAACGGATCTTTTTAAAAACTCCGGCCAAAGTGAAGATCTGCGTTTTCTCCGTTTTGGGTGTCTGCGTGTGGACAGACAAAATCGGAGTTTTAAGGTCCGCAACGTCAGTTTCCGCGACAAAAAATGCTGACATCACGTGTGCGACCTGTGTTTACACTAGCCGGCATCATGGAAGCCCACCGAGCTGCGCTCACTTTATCAATTGTCCAAGCGCTTTTTGCTTGTTTGTTTTTGCAAGCGGAATTACTGCTCCTTGCGGAAGACCACAGACGAAGGACGAGGTTAAGAACGGGGGAAGTACTGCCGCCTACAGGTCTGGCATGTCCTGAACAACGTGTTTATCCGGGTACGTGTGGACAGTTTTTTTTTTTAAACGAGGTGGTGTGGATACAAGTTTTTGGAGGGGCGGATATTCGTTTTTAAAAAAACCCGGCTACGTGTGGACTAGGCCTTAGACGGCGGGTTTTGGAGTCTTATTTCGTGATGTGTGGACATCTCGCCCCAGACTGGATAACAGCAATGCAACTCTACCACTGACTTGCAACATGGATATTTTATCTCTCAAAATACACGAGCCTGGAGGACCTTCTGCTGTGAGGTGTAGTTGCTAATGCTGACAGTTAGCTTAAACTAGCCGAGACGTCCACTGCTGATTACCGGACGTTAAAACAACAACAGTCTTCCCTGTCGTGAATCAAGATCGTCGAGTCCATAAATGCCAATTCACAGTGTGACATAGATCTGTGAGGATTTTCAAATACATGAGTTTCATCTATTTTCTATCAGAAGCTAATGCAGGAGAAAGGTGTAGGAGACTATTTTCATGTTCAGCCTGCATGAAAAACCCAGAGTGGTCAATTATAATTACAAAAAGGTAAAGAAAATATCTGGCTAAATTTCATACAGACCAAACTTGGAAAATACTTTTCACTTGTTTTGAGTTCTCATGTGATAACTCAAGTTACTACTGACAGTAAAACATTTACCACAAGTGTTAATTGGATATGGCTTCTCACCTAGCAATGGGTACCGAATTCGGTGCTTTTTAAGGTACCGACCGAAATCCATAGTACCGACTGAACACCAATTCACTAGCCTGGCAAGCCAGACTAAATAAATGTATTATTTAGTCTGGCCACGCTCCATTGACGGCTTTCGGTTGTGGGGCGGGTTCTACTGTTGTCTTTCAAATGATCTCCGCATTCCACTGGACAATGAATGTGACATACTCTTGTTTCACTCTGTTGCATCATCCCACACACCAGGCATATAGAATGCCCTGATTGGCCCACAAAGCGGATAAAGCTCTGTGATTTGTTCACTAAAGAGATAGAGCACTATGATTGGCCCACCATTATGGACCAATCACAGCTCTTTATGTGGGCGACGGTGGCACAGGAGTTAAGTGCTTGCCCCGTAATCGGAAGGTTGCAGGTTCGAGCCCCGCTCAGTCTGTCGCTGTCGTTGTGTCCTTGGGCAAGACACTTAACCCACGTTGCCTGCTGGTGGTGGTCGGAGGGACCGGTGGCGCCAGTGCTCGGCAGCCTCGCCTCTGTCAGTGCGCCCCAGGGCAGCTGTGGCTACATTGTAGCTCATCCCCACCAGTGTGTGAATGTGTGTGTGAATGGGTGAATGACTGATTGTGTTGTAAAGCGCCTTGGGGGGGTTCAAGAACTCTAGAAGGCGCTATATCAAATACAGGCCATTTACCATGTGTTTGAAACCCCTCTAGAGAGCTGTGATTGGCTAGCCAGAGTCCTGGTAGGAGCTGCTGAGGTTCCAATGGAGCATGCCTAGACCATTCTTTGCAAAGCAAGAATTTGGTCTAGTTCACTAGGCTACCGATTCACATCATTTGAAACGGTGCCTCGTTTCGGTACCCGTCCTTCATAACGAGAACTTGCCTAGACAGCTGCGCATGCGCAAGAGTGTTATGTCGTCGCTCGCTGCGAGCCAGTTGTAAACAGAACAGCATGGTAGAAAGAATGCACGCTAAAGCTTGAGTCCACTTCACTAAATGTGATGGGTAACTGGGTGATGATGAAACCAGCGACAACGATCTAAGTGAGACATCCTCATCTTAATCTGCTCCTGTAGGTAAATAAAATGTTTAAGATAACGTTAACTTGATATGTTAGCTTCCGTTCAACTAATGGGTGGGTTCGCTTTCTCCTCAGAACTCCAATTTTCCGACTAAAAGGACATGAACACGCTCTAATGTTTGGCTTCACTTTACTAAATGTGACGGGTTATTGGGTGGAGATGAAACCAGCAACAATGATCCAAGTGTGAGGCATCATTGTTTAAATCTGCTCCAGCAGCTAAATAAACTGTTTAAGATAACGTTAGCTTGATATGTTAGCTTCCATTGCCACCATTGTTATGAGCTAATGGTGCGTTCGCTTTCTCCTGGAAATTCTAACTTCCCAGTAGGAAAAATCAAATGAAAAAGGACGGCATAAGGAATGAAGATACACAGTAAATTTAGTTCACAGTAAAGATGTTTGCTTCAGTTTAATTATCAGCTTATAAAACTACAAGGTCGATGTTAAAATACAAACTGTTGAATGTTATTTATTGTGATATTTATCAAATATGGTTATATATTGAGAAAATATATATATTTAATTATAAAAGAATTAAAATATTAAACACTCAAAAGTATCTAAAATTGGTACAGTTAAGTACCGGTATCGATTCCTAGGTACCGGGAATTAGTACCGAATCGATTCAAATGTCAAAGGTACCCATCCCTATTCTCACCTCTGTGAGTTCTCATGTGATAAGTCAAGCCACTACTGGCAGTAAAACATTTACCACAAGTTTTACATGGATATGGCTTCTCACCTGTGTGAGTTCTCATGTGTTTAGTCAAGTCACTACTGACAGTAAAACATTTACCACAGGTGTTACAAGGATATGGCTTCTCACCTGTGTGAGTTCTCATGTGTTTAGTCAAGCCACCACTGGCAGTAAAACATTTACCACAAGTGTTACATGGATATGGCTTCTCACCTGTGTGAGTTCTAATGTGTGTAGTCAAGTCACTACTGGCAGTAAAAGATTTACCACAAGTGTTACATGGATATGGCTTCTCACCTGTGTGAACTCTCATGTGTTTAGTCAAGGTACTACTGGCAGTAAAACATTTACCACAAGTGTTACATGGATATGGCTTCTCACCTGTGTGAGTTCTCATGTGTTTAGTCAAGACACTACTGTTAGTAAAACATTTACCACAATTGTTACATGGATATGGCTTCTCACCTGTGTGAGTTCTCATGTGATAAGTCAAGTTACTACTGGCAGTAAAACATTTACCACAAGTTTTACATGGATATGGCTTCTCACCTGTGTGAGTTCTCATGTGTGTAGTCAAGTCACTACTGGCAGTAAAACATTTACCACAAGTGTTACATGGATATGGCTTCTCACCTGTGTGAGTTCTCATGTGTTTAGTCAAGACACTACTGGCAGTAAAACATTTACCACAAGTTTTACATGGATATGGCTTCTCACCTGTGTGAGTTCTCATGTGTTTAGTCAAGATATTACTGGCAGTAAAACATTTACCACAAGTTTTACATGGATGTGGCTTCTCACCTGTGTGAGTTCTCATGTGTGTAGTCAAGTTACTACTGACAGTAAAACATTTACCACAAGTGTTACATGGAAATGGCTTCTCACCTGTGTGAGTTCTCATGTGTTTAGTCAAGACACTACTGTTAGTAAAACATTTACCACAAGTGTTACAGGGATATGGCTTCTCACCTGTGTGAGTTCTCATGTGTTTAGTCAAGACACTACTGTTAGTAAAACATTTACCACAAGTTTTACATGGATATGGCTTCTCACCTGTGTGAGTTCTCATGTGTTTAGTTAAGACACTACTGGCAGTAAAACATTTCCCACAAGTTTTACATGGAAATGGCTTCTCACCTGTGTGAGTTCTCATGTGTGTAGTCAAGTCACTACTGGCAGTAAAACATTTACCACAAGCGTTACATGGATATGGCTTCTCACCTGTGTGAATTCTCATGTGACGACATAAACAAGACTTGTGACTGAAAGATTTTCCACAGAGCTTACAATAAAATGGCCTCTCACCTATGTGAGCCCTCTTGTGCTTTTTCAGTGTCTGAACATCTACATTGTCTCTGTGATCTTCGCTTTGCAGACGTCTTTTATTATGTGTCAGTTCTTCATTGCTGTTTGATTCTGAGTTTTCTTTCTTGCATCCACCCTGATCTTGGTTCTCTGCTTCTGTAGAATTCTGACTCAAGGGTTGCTTCCTGTTGGGTTCTGGATCATGGCAGTCTGTTTCGTTAGAAGGATAAGTCCCTACGAAGGTTACATGTTTTTGCTTAAAAAGGAACTGCCCTTCATGCTGATGGATATAGAGTTCTGGCTGGTCCTCTGTGATCAGTAGATCTTCTGGTTCCTCCTGGTCCATACTGGAGGTTGACACTTGGTCAGAGAGCTGCTGGTCAGTCAGAACCTCTTCTTTTTCCCAGATATGATGCTGTGGAAGTTCTGGACAGGTAAAAAGAAAAAGAAAAATGTTGAGTAATGTGGCAATTAAAATGTTCCAATGAAGGCAGGAAGTTCGAGGCTCTAGAATGGGATGATTCTGGTCACAAATGTGACTCCATTTCTCAATGGTGCACCTAAATATCTACACTCAGGTTGCACCAGACGAAGAGTTAAGAGAGATGCTGGTCTGTCAGAACCTTCTACTGTGGAAGCTCTGGACAGGTTAAAGTAAAACTGGAAAATGTTGAGTGACGTAACAATTACAAAAAGAATATATATATATATACCTCCTCCTTGAACCGCCACCTTATCGTGGTGGAGGAGTTTGAATGCCCTAATGATCCTAGGAGCTATGTTGTCTGGGGCACTTTGTGACCCTGCTAGGGTCTCCCATGTCAAATTGGGTCTTAGGTGAAGAGTGAGACAAAGAACGGTTCAGAGGAATTTTCATGGATGTAAATTCAAATAGTCGGAGGACCCGACCCGGAAGGTTACTGGTAGGGCTGCACGACATTAGGAAAACCTGCGATATTCGATAACAGTGCTTAATATTGCGATATCGATATTACTCACGATAAATGAACAAATACTAAAGTATGCAGTGTTGATGTCATCTGGCATGTGACGTCTGCTCTGGGTTCAAAGCAAACAAAAACGAATGCATGAATTCCATTACAACAGAACATTTTTACTGAAAAAATATGCAGCTGCACCTGTACTGTATACAGCAAAACAACAAACTGCATGCATGCAGTTTCTCAGTGACTTTAAAACATCACCTCCACCATAAAACTTTTTCTGATGCTCCAAATACAGAAAAACATCCCTTACCAGGGTTTTTTGAATAAATAAAAAAATCTGAAAATAAGTTTAAATGTTAAATAATAGTTAACATCACTTAAATGCAACAGCAAATTCTCTCATTGCTACAGAACATTTTCTCCACTTATGTGGTTATGATATAAGGCTGTTGCTGTAATTGGGAAGTGAACTGTGCTGGGCCAAAATAGGAGAAAATTAAGATTTTTTGAGGGAAAAACAACTGTCTACCTTTCAGAAGAGGAACTGGCAAAAAACTACATGGAAAATATGTGAAAACGTTTGGTTTTAACCCCAAATTGAACAAGTTTACCTAGATCTTAAAAAGCAGCTCAGATGATGAAACTGCAACTATGATTCTGATAACAAGCTAACAAATTGAACTAGCTCCTCTTAAGATAACCGGCTAGCAGAGCTTCTGACTGACAGTTTATGTGCAGCGGCAAATCAACTATCCTGATTAACAAGGTTATAAAACCTCATAAATGAAAAATCACTTTGATGTGTGGGGGAACTTTTCCAGGCCCTCATTAGCAGGGTGGGACTGGGAGGAGAGTGCTGTAGCCTTTTAGCTGGAAGCTAACCAGAGTCTGGGGCTAACACTAGCAACATGAAGGTGGGTTGGTTCACCGGCACATGTCGGAGTCAGCCAGGTAAAAATTATTAACGACACCGAGCGGAGTCACGTTCACGTTTGAAAGCAGCGCTGAATCCAGAAACATCAGCACAAAGTGCGTTAGTTGCTCTGAGCCAGCAAAACAAGGGAACAGCGCCGCAAACTCTGTTCGGTTGTCGCTTTCCGAAAGGGTCCATGTAGGCGGCGGGCGTATTACGTGAACGGACCCATCTGATTGGCCGCATATCAGAAGGACTACATTTGATTGATCAAATAATATTTCCGCGTAAAAAACTGAGCTGGTTTACAAAAAGTTGATGTATGACATGGATGGAAATGTTTGAACCAAACATTTATCGCTGTTTTTGCCGTGCTTTGCGATGGGCCTATCACACGTCCTGTTATCGCGATGACGATAAATTTTCGATATATTGTGCATCCCTAGTTACCGGGGTCCCCACCCAGGAGCCAGGCCTGGGCTTGGGGTCCGTAAGTGAGAACCTGATGGCCGGGCTTTCGCCCATGGGGCCGGGCCGGGCCCAGACCGAACCGGATACATGGGCTCATCCAACTGTGGACCCACCACCCGCAGGAGGAACATGAAGGGTCAGGTACAGTGTGGATAGGGTGGCAGACCGAGGCGGGAACCTTGGCGGTCCAATCCCCGGACAAGGAAACTGGTTTATGGGACATGGAACATCACCTCGCTGGCGGGGAAGGAGCAGGAGCTTATGACAGAGGTTGAGCGGTAATGGCTGGATATAGTCGGACTCACCTCGACACATAGCATTGGCTCTGGAACCCAAGTCCTTGAGAGGGGGTGGACACTCTCCTTTGCTGGAGTTGCTCCGGGTGAGAGGCGGAGGGCTGGGATTGGCTTTTTGTTAGCCCCAGTGTTACGTTCCCCGGTAGTTTGTGTGAAGTTTATGGTTGTGTTTTACTTTTCATGTCACACAACATGGATCCTCTGAGCCTCTGGGGACAAGGACTCTTTGACTCTGCCAAGGACTGCGGAGTTCAGGACCAGCAGCCTTGTGTGAACTTTGCCCCAAATGACATCAACGGACAGCTCCGGAGCAGAAGCTGCAGCTGAGGCGGATTGAGACTGATTGCGGTTGCCACGAGGATAAAACGTCGTTGGAACCATTACACGAGGAGCAACTCCTACCCATGGGTTGACTCCACTCCACGCTCCCTTTTCTCTGTTAAATGGTTTAGTCTGCTAACATCTATAGAAAGTGCTATCTTAAATGAGAGTAAATCTCTGCACTTTTCTGGTCCAAACTGTGGAGAGGATTTGTTTTAAACTTGGTGGTATTTTGGTTATTAGCTTTAGAATCTTAGTTGTTTTGCTGGTACCAGTTAAAGATAATTAGTTGGTAAAGAAATGCCAAATATTTTGTTTGATTTGTGTGTAATAATTCCTGGTCCCAGCTGGACTTTTATTTTGTTTGTAAATCCTTGTAATTATAATTGAACACGAAGAAAGATAAATTATTATTTTACAACCCGTTAAATTCCCTAATTTTTCCCAATGCTTACCCAGTTGAATGGGCTGGGTTTTCTTAACTAGAGTCGAGAACGTAATAAAATGGGGGCTCGTTAGTCAGTAACTTTGGCTGGTGTTATGCTGACGGTTGCGAGTTGGTACAGTCTCGCTCTCTTTTTATCTCGTTTTTTTTTCTCCGTTTTGTTCGCTTCCCTGGGTTGTGACTAATGGGCTCGACACACGGGAGGCGACAAACGACCGCAATCAGCGAAATTTGTCGCTGTCGCTTTTATTACCTGTCACACGGGAGGCTATCCACGGTAGCGGTAAAGCCGTCTACGCGTTCTGTTCCATGGCGAAATCGAAACTTCCGTTGTTTTGCTTGGCTGTGTCAGGTTGGAGGGAATTAAGGTTATTTAAGTGGTTCAGAGTTAATAAAGTGGTAGATATGATGTTTCACAAGGTGCTGCTAGAGTTATGTGAAATATTACTTCTGATTTTACTATAAAACATAATAATAATCAACTTCTCCTCCATGTTTGCTCGGAGATGTGCGGAGCATCCTGTCCGCTCATTGGTCAGTGAATGAAACCTCCGTTGATTGGTCCTCGCCCGAGCGACAGCGATGAAAAGTTGAAAATGTTTCAACTTTCTGGGATCGCATCGCTGGGTCGCACATGCACGACACATGCACGAGTGCAAACTTTCACACGCACGTTTTTCGCGTTTCGCTTGGTAGGAGGGAGACCCGCGATTATCGCTTTGTTGCGCATGTCTCATTGAAAATGAATGGAGGAGAGGCGATGTCGCCTCCCGTGTGTCGAGCCCATAATACTTAGTTTTTTTTGTGTGTTTCTGTCATGTCTAGATTTAATTTGGATGCCTTTCTGCAGGCTCCTTCCCGCGGACAGCTGGACGTGTTTCATAAGCGAGATCTTTTGGAGGTAGCTGACTACATTGTTCTCGCTGGTGCTCAGTTGATGCTGAAGATGGACCTGAAGGAGAAGATTGCCTCTGTGTTGGAGGAGCATGAGCTGCTGTCTCCGTTGGCGGATTCTGCTGTTTTGCCTTTGCAGCCGGGTGGGGGCTGTGTGGACGGTGTGGAGGACGGTGTGGTCGCGGGCAGCGCGGCTGCGGGAGCGGCAGTGGAGCAGCTGACTCCTGACGGGGGTGCGGGTCGACGATCTCCTCCGTTGCCTCTCCCTGGCTCTGATCCGTCTTTTCCTGAGTCGAGATTTGGTTCTCCTGAACATGCCCGGCTACAGCTGCGGTTAGCTCGTCTCAAACAAGAGGCTGAGGACAAACAGCGTGACAGAGAATACGAGTTTCGGAAACTGGAACTTGAAGCTGAAACGTCAATAAAACGTAAGCGACTGGAGCTGGAGATGCAGGCCCAGGCGCCGCGCCGATCGTGGAGCCCGTCAGCTGGCTTGACGGGTGAGACTGAGAAGCTGGACGTGGGGAAGTGTATGATGCTGATGCCACCGTTCCGTGAGGCCGAAGTGGACAGCTACTTCGCCGCGTTTGAGCGCATCGCTGTGGCACTCAGTTGGCCGCGGGAAGTCTGGCCTCTCCTGCTGCAGTGCAAGTTAAGTGGCAAAGCACAAGAGGTTATGGCCTCATTATCGGTTCATGATTGTGCAAACTATGATTGTGTAAAAGACGCTGTGTTGCATGCCTATGAATTGGTCCCCGAAGCATATCGCCAAAAGTTCATATCTTTAAGAAAAAGGGATGGGGAGCAGACATTTGTGGAGTTTTCTAGGGACAAAAGTCTATTGTTTGATAAATGGGTGATGTCCTCAAAGGTAACAAACTTTGCTGAATTAAGAGAACTCGTTTTGCTTGAGGAGTTCAAGCGGTGTCTTCCTGAGAAAACTGTTTTATACCTAAATGAACAAAAAGTGTCTGCCTTGTCAGCTGCTGCTGTTTTAGCAGACGAGTTTATGCTTACACATCGGGTAAAATTGGAACACAAGGCAAAACCCGAAAGGCACTATGAGGGTAGACCACGATTATCTGATGTGAAAGACGGGAAAAATCCAGTGAAGTGTTTTTTCTGTCATAAACCGGGTC